CACATATATGTGTGTGCGTGGAGGGGGGGTTGGGTAAGTTTATATATATTTTGAATAATTTCACGGATTATAAAATTAATAATCACATAAATTTTAGTAATCTAAGTAATCTTACGATTCATAGAACTAACTGAACAGGTGAACTTTAAAAGCAAACCTAAAATCTAGTGTTAAAGATACATTCTTTTAATTGATTGAAAAATTGCGCAGTTTATGACGGACTTGTGGTATTAGACCGGAGACGATCCACACTGACTTCAGTACATTTCATGAAGTCAGCCTTCCTTCAAGTCTTTCATTGCGATCCACGCCTTGCTTGAACATGTGTGTGTATATATATAGGATACAAAGCTAGCTAGGGAAGAAAGCAGAGCACTTATGAGTTGTATGAGAACATAATTAGTAGCAATACAACTTGATTGTTTTTTATGGCCAATCTCATTTCTTCCATCAAATTTACCAGTTTCATCTATGTTTTTCTTCTTTTTCTATGCCCTTTGTGTTCTCTGAAGAAGGGTTATGCAGTTGAAGCAAATGAGCATATAAAAAAATATGTTCATACCCTGGAAGTCAATTCTCTGTTGGCATCAGATTCCTGCAACCAATCTAGTAAGGGTTCTCATGATTGTGTGACAAATACATATGTATATTTTATGATGTTGAAATGAAATTAATTTTCTACCTAATGCACTAAGCAGCACTAACTATAGGTTATGTGTTTCAGTGATCGACAAGGCTTCATCTCTGCAAGTTCAGCACAAGTATGGTCCGTGCATGCAAGTACTGAATGATCGGTCACATGTACAATTCCTCCTCCAAGACCAACTTCGAGTGGACTCGATTCAAGCTAAACTCTCCAAGAACTCAGGCCATGGCATTTTTGAGGAGATGGTGACAAAACTACCAGCCCGGTCAGGTATCGCCATTGGCACAGGCAACTACGTGGTTACTGTCGGCCTTGGCACACCAAAAAAGGATTTTACCCTTGAATTCGACACCGGCAGTGACATCACTTGGACTCAATGTCAGCCATGCTTAGGGTCCTGCTATCCGCAAAAGGAACAAAAGTTCGACCCAACCAAGTCAACCTCATACAATAATGTTTCGTGTTCCTCAGCATCATGCAACTTGCTCCCTACCAGTAATTTTTTGTTTTTGCCAAATTCTTGACGTGTAAATTTCATGAATTTCATAATTGAAAACAATGGTCTGGGATAAAAAAATATATTTGAAGCTTACTTCTTTGTCATGTTCATATGCAGGTCAAAGGGGTTGCTCTGCCTCAAGCTCGACATGCCTCTACCAAGTTATATATGGTGACCAATCCTACTCCCAAGGATTTTTCGCCACCGAAACACTAACCATTTCATCATCGGACGTTTTCACAAACTTCCTGTTCGGGTGCGGCCAAAGCAATAATGGCTTGTTCGGCCAGGCAGCCGGTTTGGTAGGACTGAGCCCCTCTTCGGTATCCTTGCCATCACAAACTGCGGAGAAATACCAAAAGCAATTCTCTTATTGTTTACCTTCAACCCCTAGCTTAACCGGCTACCTAAACTTTGGGGGAAAAGTCTCTCAGACTGCGGGATTCACTCCAATATCCCCAGCTTCCTCAAGTTTTTATGGCATTGACATCGTTGGAATGAGTGTTGGAGGTTCCCAGCTACCAATAGATCCATCAATTTTTACTACGAGCGGAGCCATCATCGACTCCGGTACGGTCATCACTAGGCTGCCTCCTACAGCATACAAGGCACTCAAGGAAGCATTCGACGAAAAAATGTCGAATTATCCCAAGACAAATGGGGATGAACTGCTTGACACATGCTATGATTTTAGTAATTATACAACAGTTTCATTTCCTATGGTCAGTGTGTCGTTCAAAGGTGGGGTTGAAGTGGATATCGATGCATCGGGGATCCTGTACCCGGTGAACGGTGTGAAGACGATGTGCTTGGCATTTGCAGCAAATAAGGATGATAGTGAAATTGGGATTTTTGGAAACCATCAGCAAAAGACTTACGAGGTTGTCTATGATGGTGCTAAAGGAATGGTTGGTTTTGCAGCTGGTGGTTGTAGCTAAAAGCCTAAAACGAGAAAATAATGAATATCAAGTTGGCTTAAAATATATAGCACCATTATTGTGGGTTTTCGTTGTAAAATCAAGTTCCATGTCTGAGCTCCAGATCCTGGAGCCAAAATTAATAAAGTGCTAGTAAAATTTTCCAGTTTATGGATACCAAGGTGAATTTAATGCTTTTGCGAGGATCGCTTGAAACTTCATCTTTTTTTATATTTTCTATGTTCTAACACTTGGCTTTTAAAATTGTATAATAATAATTCTAACTTCTTTGTCTATTTGGATGAACATGCACCGTTTTGGGTCATTTTTAACATGGTTTACCAATTGCGAGTCCTCTGTCATAATCGTTTTATGTGCGGCAACGACAGGATGTTTGCTTCTCTTATTTATTTATTTATAAATGTTACGCTTATAGCCTTGTAGTTTAGAATTTTTCAATCTTACTCTTCTACTTTCAAAATGAGCCACTGTTACTCGTTTCATCAGCTTTTTCATATTCGATTTGTGAAATTTTATTTAGGTTCTTAAGTGTGTTTTTATAACATTTGTTTGAGTATTTTATGATTTTTTTTTAAATGCACTAGGTTAAGTTTGTCCTCCAATACTCTCTCATAAATATAAAAAAATGTGTGAAAAAGAAAAGAAAATGATGGAAGGGTAAAATTCAATGGATGAAATTCATTAGGGTTATAGTTCTTAAATTAAAAAAATAAATGATACACTAAAAATAAGTTTATATCATTGTTTTAAAACTCGGCCCGACCTGGCACGTCAACCTAAAACTCAAGGCTAGAATCGGGTCGGGTTTAAAAAATATCAGTCAGAGATTTGGCTTGGTAAAACCCAATTAACTAGAAGGATTGACCCCGGGATCCATAAAACCCGGATAAACTCAGATAAGACCTAATTATTTTATATATATAAGCCAAACATCACCATTTTAGCATTTTATTAATAAATCTTTCGACAACATAAACTCTTCAATTTGCAAAGCCATACCGTGGTGAAAACGACTTTGTGGGTTGGTGGATGAATGTGTTGGCAATGTAGGGAGAGTTTGTTAAGTGGTTGTTTGAAGGGGGGTCAAATCTTGTGATGATGATGATGATCCAGTTTTGATTAGTGCGGACATGGATACGAGTGTGAATTAAGGGCTCTTATTGTGAAAATTGGTATACGTTTGCAGACGAAGGATTTTGAGGGTGAAAAGTGGGGAAGATTAGAGAAAAAATGGACAGTGGGTTTGTTATGTTTGTCATGGAAGTGGTAGATTAGAGAGATTAAGAAAGTGGCACACGTTAGCCGAGCAGGGATCTTGGGGATAAAGGATTAAAGAAAAAAAAACCTAGTGTTTTTGTGGCTTGAAACAAAAACAAAAAAACTATAAAAGAAAGAAAGAAAATACAATACACACTAAAAAAGACTAAAATAAATGGGAGGGGAAAGAATCCTGCTCTCTCTTTATGGCTTCGTTCATCGAAGCTTTCACCCAGTAGCATAACCGCCGTGTGCAATCTGAAGTTGCGGTGGCATGGCGTTTTTAAAAAAAAAAGATGTAAAGAGTTGTGGAAGCAGAACAGTGGAGTCGTATTCTGTAATAGCAAATCCATCATTATAACACCATCACCTGGATTTGAATATAGCCTTGGTTTCATTTCAATCGCTTATGATAAATTACTTAATTTAGCGCTAATTACAAATCTTTTATATATGTGCATTGAATGTAAATATGGAAAGAGATTACCGCAATTGGCTGAAGATCCTGCAATTCGACCGGTTTTTGGAGTTTAAAAGAGAGATAACAGCAAAAGACTTAAGGTTAGTGGAATATATTTATTTTAGGTTGATCTAAATCAATTCATTTAAATCAATTCATCTAACCTGTAGCTCTAACCTGTAGCTCGATTTTTATATCAGGTCGGATTTAAAAATTATAATTTATATTATAAAAAAAAGATAGAACTATATTTAGTAGATCTAGCCACAACTTATTCATGATAAAAAAAAAATAGTAATGGTTTAATATTATAAAGCTTTTCCATCAGAGAAATTCAAAGAAAGCATTTTGAAAAAGGCCCTATTTTAAAGCTTTTCCATCTTAAATTTTTTACCGTATCGTTTACTATCTTTGTTTCAACACCTATTTTAACTAAATATTTGCTTTGTCACTTCTATTAGAAGAGCAATTATACAAATTCATTTTGAGATATTTATGCTTTATTTTTTAAAATCTCCTAGGGATTCTTTTTGGAAATGAATATGCTTGTATTTAATTACTTTTTCATGATTATAAAGAAGCTTTAATGTTGTTTTGTTGTAGATAAGCACTTTTATGGTTTATGTCTAAAGCTTTGTTTGAGAATATAATTTTTTTTTATATTTTTAGATCGTTTTGATGTGTTGATTTTAAAAATATTTTTTTTAAAATAAAAAAATTATTTTAATATATTTTTAAATAAAAAATATTTTAAACTGTAACTATAACCACAATCCTAACAGATTCTAAGTTTTGACCATAAATGATTAATCTGGTGTTTTCTAATAAAATAATAATTATAAATTTAAAATATGATGTATATTGGAAATGATATTTGTTTTAAATATTGATTTGGTAATTTATTAGATGATATTTTTAAAAAATATTAAGACTATGATATATTAAATCGATTCGAGTTAACCTGATAAATTTACAATTCAAGTTATAAGATCGTGATAACTCTATAAAAAAAATCAAAATAAATTATGAAAGTCAATTATTAATCAATCTGATATTAAATTATAAAATTAAATAAAAAAAAAATAAAAAAAATTATTTAGTTGTTGTATAGGTTCTTCAGTTTGATTCAGTATGCCCAAAAAGAAGGTTTTGCCTGCTCTAAGTCTGCATTTTCTTGTTCTTGTATAGGTTTCTTTGGATAAATCTTTTTGGGCACATTCAATGGAGAAGGTTTTCCCTGCTCTATATCAGCATTTAGTTGTTTCTTTGAAGAACTCTTTTTGGGCATGCTGAATCAAACTGAAAGTTTGATACTAGTTGTTTAACTAGAATCCAAGAAAAACAAGAGCACCAAGCATCAAACATCCAATTCAATTAACAACAAAATGTACACTAATAATTCACAGATTACTCGTGTTTTAGAAGACCTACTAATATAAGTCAGCCAACTGGAGAATAGCAGAGGAACATACAAATAACAGCTAAATACAATGGAACATCTAGCTCATAATCAGTAAGCTGAATTCGCACATTTTCGGCCACAAAAGGCAACAAATAGTTCAAAATTGAGAATTTCTTCGAATGCCATTTTCTTCATTATTCAGTAGCGGGAAAAAAATAAGGATTTTCAATTGAAACTCAAGAACTTGTTTGATTTTTCATTGTTTCGCACCCCCAAAAAAAAGGTGTAAATTTATTTTTACAAATGTTTAATTATTTTTTTTCGTTCTCAATAGCAAGAGAGATTAATTTTTCTGAGCTGAATTCATCATTTGCATGAAAATAAATTCGGTTTTGCTACTTTTCCAGGAAAGCAAACACAAACAAGTTGGGAATTTTTATTTTTATTTTAGGTTTTTTAGCATGAAAATCAAATAGAAAGTAGTAATTAAGAAAGAAATAGGAGAGTTAAAAAAGATGAGAGATGAAGAACTAACCTTTGGCAGCAATATGTAGAAGGAGAATAGATTGGAGACAGTCAGCAAGAAACGCTATTCAAGTCGCTTCCCCAGGATAATACCATGCGGTTTTTAAGGAGTTAAACATGGACGGTTCGATTTTGATCAGGAAGTTAAGGATGCTAAAAATCAAACGAGATTAATAATATCATGTGAGCATGACTGCCACGTAAGTCTTAACGAATTTCTCACAGCTGTCTACAATAACTGTCATATACTATATACATAATATAATTGCGATATTATTTTAAAAATATTATTTTTAATATTAGCATATATCTAAAATATATATAAAAATAAATTTAAACAAATTGTTTTTTTTTAAAAAAAACATAATTACTGAGAAGAAGAAATGAAGAAGCAAGACACTTAGAATTTTTGGCATATATGGAATAAAGATTTTTTTTTATTCTGGCATGTAAAATTTTTTTTAAGCAGAACAATATGTTTACTTTTTCAATAAAGTCCTTTAATACGTCACGGATATTAAAACTTAAGGATTTTGTTGTCTAATAAAATACATTGTTATTGAATTTATGTTTTTATATTTAATTATAAATTGCGTTTAATTTTAAAATTTTACTAACTTACTCATCGACTTTAATCATTAAAGATATATCCTTAAAATAATATATATAGATAGATTATTATTATCTTCTCAAAAAGCGCGGCTCACACTTTTCAAGCAAAGACTAGGGTTTTGAGCACAATTCTCTCCAAACTTGCTTCATAATCGACTGCACGCACGGCTCGAGACCCAGAGAGATACAGGTAAACAAGATTTTGAAGGCAAGCTAGTTCCCTTCATATTTTTTTTTGTTCCCTTTTCCATCTTTGTTCCATGTGAAATTGATGTTACTATGCCTGATAGTTCCGTTAAACAGAAATTTAAACTTTCTGATTGAATTCTTATATTATTTGACTGGAATTTGTAGGCACTTTTTTGGTGAGGTGTTTGTAAAAATCTAGAAATGCAAGCCACCAGTGGAGCCGCAGTGATGGGTTCTTTGCAACAGCCTGTTTTGTCAAAAGGGCCAGCCTTTCCAATGAAAAGGAGTGTTATCATTGGGTTTCCATATCACGTTAAGCTTAATTCAGTGAAGCCATGCAGGGCTTCTTCCCTTGAAGGAATCTTGGTCACTGGCAGACCCCCCTCTTCTGTTTCTGTGCCTATCCCTGAAACTGGAGGTAACAATAATATCTTTTGTTCTTTTTTATTATTCTCCTGCTTATCTCTTGAAGTCCGAACAAGGGAACATTGACCTTATGTAATTGTTGTGATTCTATTGAAAGGTTTGGTTTTTTAAGAAAAAAGTTGTGCTTTGTTGTTTTTTTTAGCTGTATTTCAAATGTTATCACAGAGCGTCTAGGTTTTAAGGGCTATCAATTTTCAACTAGAATACGTCAGTTATTTATTTAACTGTTTGGTTGGCTTTATGCAACGAGAATGACAAATAGAATTATATATAATATGATTCTAGATATAATCTGTTGGTGATGAGTGGTGAGACTGACTCTTTGTGAATGGAATTTTTTGTCATAATTGCCTAGCTGACACAAGTAGCTTCAAAGATTATGGACTCAGTGAAGCTGATCCTGAAGTGCTTGAAATTATAAATAAGGAAAAGGATAGGCAATTCAAAAGCCTTGAACTTATTGCATCAGAGAATTTCACATCTCGAGCAGTGATGGAAGCAGTTGGTTCGTGCTTAACAAATAAGTATTCTGAAGGACTTCCTGGTAAAAGGTAAATTTCTTTCATTTAGATGCCTTTCTTTTTTGTGTTGAAAATTTGAATGTCTTTTATAGCCTGATGATTGTCTATATATTGCAGATACTATGGCGGAAATGAGCACATTGATGAGCTTGAAACCCTTTGTCAAAAAAGGGCTCTGGCATCATTTAACTTGGATGGAAAGAAGTGGGGTGTTAATGTTCAACCATTGTCTGGATCCCCTGCTAATTTTGAGGTTTATACTGCACTTCTTAAACCTCATGACCGAATCATGGTAAATTGTTTCTCTCTCTCTCTCTCTCTGATTAATGCTTTTGCAGTTTCACAATGCAAAATCTTTATATTTATATTTAATGTGACTAAATTAGGGTTTGGACTTGCCTCATGGGGGACACTTGTCTCATGGGTTCATGACTCCTAAAAGGCGGGTATCTGGGACATCAATTTACTTTGAGTCTATGCCATATCGACTTGATGAATCTACAGGTGATATGTCATTGTTATCAGATTAGGAGAAAATGGTTGACTATATTGGTTTGGTGATGTTTATTAATCCTTTTCCCCAACACTTATTATAGGCCTGGTTGATTATGATATGCTTGAGAAAACAGCTATCCTCTTTCGACCAAAACTCATTATTGCTGGTGCTAGTGCTTATCCTCGAGATTTTGATTATCCTCGCATGAGGAAGGTAGATGTTACATGCTGTTAATCTTGTTTTGCTTTTTGTTGTGCCCTTGTTTTTCCAGGCAAGAACCACCTTGTGCCCTTGTATTTTCAACTTTTAGTCATATCAAACTCTCTACTCTATTTTGAGCCATGCCAACCCTTCTACTTCAACTTTTGACACCGTTTAACCCTTTCATTCAACTCTGTCACGCAAGTCTTCTAGTTCGACTAATGCTCTCATTTGACTAGTCCTTGACCAATTAGATGTAAACACATGTCTATTCTAAAGGTCATCAAATACCCCCACTGCCATATAAGTTTGATCTCATTAGCTCTTTTGCTATAAATTAGGCTTAACTTATAAAATAAAGCAAAAAAATGAAGGATTTAATTATTATTAGGTATTTAATTTAGTTTAACTAATAAAATAAAGCATGAAAAATTATTAAACCTAACCTTATAATTTTTATTTTTTATGCTTTATTCTAAATAAAGCATAAAATTAATGACTTAAATATTTATTTACATTTTAGGCTTAAATTTTATTTTTGCTGATGTAACTTGATAATCCATAAATTAATCAAATCAATCACTTTATGCTTTATTTATTAGTTAAGTCTAATTCATAGCAAAAGGATTAATTTGGCCAAACTTGTGTAGTGGAGGGGTATCTGATGACTTTTAGAATGAATGCTTGTTGATATTTGATTGGTTAAGGATTGATCAACTGATAGCATTAATAAACCAACAGACTTCCATGACAGAGGTGGATGGAAGGATTAAAAAGTTCCAAAAGTTTAAGCAGAAGGGTTGTCATGATGGAAAATGGAGTAGAGGGTGTGATATGACTCTAAATTAAAAATATAGGGGCACAAGGTGATTTTTTCCCAGATTTCCCTTCCCCCTGCTTTAACAGCTAACTAACTACAATCTATGTGCATTGAAAGATTGCAGATGCTGTCGGTGCTTTTCTCATGATGGATATGGCTCATATAAGTGGTCTTGTTGCTGCTTCTGTTGTTGCCGACCCCTTTGAGTACTGTGATGTTGTGACAACTACAACACACAAGGTAAGTCCAGATGACTATTCGAGAAGATTTTTCTGGTATTTACTATCAGTTTGGGCCCCAATGCCACTTCATGTTTCCTGGTCTAGCATGGGATATAGCGTTTTGGATTTTGTATGGATCTTAATTTGATGTGAATGTGCCCTGCATAATTTTGTTGTCAATTGACATGCGAACAGCAACTCTTGCTGTGTTGATCTGCAAATAGACGACCTGAAAATTCTCTCATTTCTCTTCAGTCGCTACGAGGTCCAAGAGGTGGAATGATCTTTTTCAAAAAAGATCCTGTTCTAGGAGTTGACATGGAATCTGCCATCAACAATGCTGTTTTTCCAGGCTTACAAGTGGGTTGCTAATGCATGTTAGAAGTTGATTTAGATTTTCTGCTTTATGGAGTTTCACCTTCAGGTCATTCTAAAACTAGCAGAGTTTATGAAATGTTGTGCAGGGCGGTCCTCATAATCACACAATTGGTGGACTGGCAGTTTGCTTGAAGCATGCACAATCCCCTGAATTTAAAGCTTACCAGAAGCAGGTACTGTACTCTCTTGGTTAAACATGGTCCAAGATACGTTTTAATTCATCCTAACTTTTTCTTGTTGCTTTTCCCTGTAGGTCATCTGTAACTCTAGAGCAATTGCAAACCGGATGGTTGAATTAGGATATAAACTGGTTTCTGGTGGGAGCGACAATCATCTCATTCTTGTAGATCTGAGGCCACTGGTAAGTGTCTTGTTGCTTCGTTGTCTCCATTATTTTCTGAGATGTATTGCAATTTTTTGCTGGTTATCTGTCGCCATTAAGGTTTTTCCCAGCATATTAATGCCCTTTGCTATTACTTGGATATCATAATCTCAAGTGTAAAATCAATTTATGTAACATGGCTGCAAAAAGAGCATAAGATGTTATGGTCAATTTTCAGAAGAATCCTAACCATACATTGTTCATAAACGCTGTATAAGATGTTATGAACCAATTCTCAGAAGCATCCTATCCATATGATGTCACTTGTCAATGAATGCAGCAATGTAGTTTGTGTTCATGCCTGTATTGTTGAGAGCACTTCTGTTTGTACATGATCATTGTAATGCTTATGAATTAGTTCGGCCTGATTTTGTAACCTTTGATTTTTATTGCAGAGTTTTAACCTGAAAGGGCATGGTCACTATTTTGACCAGATAGCATCTTTCTATGACAAACTGTTTTATGCATCGTTTTTCAGCAAGTGACATCTGTCCCCATTTACTTCTCGCATATTTATCAATATATGTTCTGTCAACAGGGGCTTGATGGGGCTCGGGTGGAGAAAATCCTTGACATGGCTTCTATCACCCTCAACAAGAATTCTGTGCCTGGTTAGCCTTGTTCTATATTCTATTTCCTTGTCTCTCTCAATCCCAGTCTCTGTCCCTTTATTGCCGCTCCTTGCTTATGGCTGCTCTGCTAATTTAAATAGGTGATAAGAGCGCCCTGGTTCCTGGTGGCATTCGCATTGGATCCCCTGCGATGACTACCAGAGGATTTACAGAGAGAGAATTTGTGGCTACTGCTGACCTGATTCATGAAGGAGTACAAATAAGTCTCGAAGCTAAAAAATCAGTATCCGGATCCAAGCTCCAGGATTTCTTAAAGTTTGTTAAATCCCCTGATTTCCCTCTAACTGATAAAGTATCAGATCTTCAAAGAAGAGTTGAAGCACTTACAACTCAGTTCCCAATTCCAGGATTATGAGCTGTATGACTGCGCTAAGTTGATACTTGAAGTGCATGTTGTATGGCTAGACGAGACCTATGATTTTGTTAGTTGTTACTAAGAAGAGAGTGAGTGAAAAGCCTTGCATCGCTCCATGTATCAACTTACAAGAACAGTTATTTGAATGGATGATACTAAAATAAGAAATTTTGGAATCAATATCATTATTGCTTTTGGAAAATGCTCCCCAAACGATTCAGCCTCCGAGAAGATGATGATGCAGTTTGGTGTTCCGTTCCAATGCTAGCACGCTAAAATCTTCATGCTCAAGCTGTGACCGACATTTTCGGTAGGAGTGGCGTGCTTTCGATTTGATTCTGCTTTTCCTCGTGCATGTTTCGGGAGTGTTCGTTATAGAATCTGGGTTTTTTTTTTTAATAATTTTAATGTGCTAATAAAAAGAATTGTTTTAGAGTATTTTAAAAAAAATATTATTTTAATTGTACATAACTCGCCATTCATGTACCTAGGCTCTAGGTTGCAAGTCAGATGGGTAGGTTGATTTGGGTATATTTATATTGTTTTTTTAAATTATGGAACTATATTGTTTTGATAAAATAAAATCAAGATTTTCATTAATTTGTCCGTTCCAGGTTGATAGTGAGTAGAATAAAAAAAAATTAAGCAAAAAAAATATTTTTAAATATTTTTAAACACAATTATTTTAATTTTACTGTAATTTTAAATACCCTTTCATGTTTGCCATTCATGTACTCAATCTCTAGGTCGATTTGGGTCTTCCTTTTAAAAAAAAAAAAATCATGGAACTATATTGTTAATTGTTTTGGTAAACCAAAATCAAGTTTGTCATCGATTTATCCTATGTCAGGTTTCGGATAGATTGATTTGTCGAATTTGGCCGGGTGGGGTTTTTTAAACACTAGTCCTATAGCATATTTGATTATATTTACTTTAATTTAACCATATATATACGTGATTATGTTCATCATATATTTAAAAGAATAGGTTGAAGGTAATTATTTTATCCTTATATTTTTATATATTTAAAAAAAAACAAAAAAAAAACATTGGAGTAACTTAATAGAAGTAACATGGAAACATCTCAAGTACAAGAGTGTCAATCAACTCCTGGATTGATTCAGTTTATTTTGGGTGAAATGTTTTACAAATAAAAAAGGAATTTATATGTAAAATATTTTTATTTAAGATATAATATTTTCTAGTGGTGATATGATAATATTAATAAAATAATAATTATAATAATAATGATAATAAAATTAAATTAAATTATGATAATAATAATTAAAGAGAAAAGATGACGGTGGATGAGGAGGTAGATATTGCTAGTGGTATGATAATGATAAAATAGTGGTGATGATACGATGTTAAAATAAAAGATAATGGTTGCGAGATGAAGTTAAAATAATAGTGAAGTAATTGTAATGATGGTGTAAGAAAAGTTAGTGATGATAATAATAATAGTGATTAAAATAGTTAAATAATATTATAATTAAATATATAAAATAAAATATTTTATGAAATTTTAAGGGTTAAGAATATTTTTTAAATTTTGAAAAACAAACAAAAAAAATTTAAGAATATTTTGCAGGCTATTGGTTGCTTTACTCCTGCTACTAGTCCATGCTTGTTTCAGAATCAATTTCAAAAAAGAAAATAGATAAATAAATAAATCTCTTGCAGATTTGAAATTACTCCTATATTTATGCAGTTTTGGATTGTTAAAAAAAAACAATAATTTCCAAACTGACATTCTTTTTAACTCTAAACAGGAAAAAAAATTTGACATGGTTGTTTTAGGTTGCACTTGTATTATGTGTATATAGTAGATGACAATTATTGTAGAAAGCTGTGAGAAATTCGTTAAGACTTACGTGGCAGTCATGCTCGCATGATATTATTAATCTCGTTTGATTTTTAGCATCCTTAACTTCCTGATCAAAATCGAACCGTCCATGTTTAACTCCTTAAAAGCCGCATGGTATTATCCTGGGGAAGCGACTTGAATAGCGTTTCTTAAAACACCACAGCTTCCTTGCTGGCCCGCTCGCTTCTTTGCCTCTTTGCCTCCCTGACTGTCTGTCTCCAATCTATTCTCCTTCTACATATTGCTGCCAAAGGTTAGTTCTTCATCTCTCATCTTTTTTAACTCTCCTATTTCTTTCTTAATTACTACTTTCTATTTGATTTTCATGCTAAAAAACCTAAAATAAAAATAAAAATTCCCAACTTGTTTGTGTTTGCTTTCCTGGAAAAGTAGCAAAACCGAATTTATTTTCATGCAAATGATGAATTCAGCTCAGAAAAATTAATCTCTCTTGCTATTGAGAACGAATTTGATTAATTTGACATTTAAAAAAAAATAATGAAACATTTGTAAAAATAAATTGACACCTTTTTTGGGGGGTGCTAAACAATGAAAAATCAAACAAGTTCTTGAGTTTCAATTGAAAATCTTCATTTTTTTTTCTGCTACTGAATAATGAAGAAAATGGCATTCGAAGAAATTCTCAATTTTGAACTATTTGTTGCCTTTTGTGGCTGAAAATGTGCGAATTCAGCTTACTGATTTTGAGCTAGATGTTCCATTGTATTTAACTGTTATTTGTTTGTTTCTCTGCTATTCTCCAGTTGGCTGACTTATATCAGTACGTGTTTTAAAACACGAGTAATCTGTGAATTATTAGTGTACATTTTGTTGGCAATTGAATTGGGTGTTTGATGCTTGGTGCCCTTGTTTTTCTTGGATTCTAGTTAAACAACTAGTATCAAACTTTCAGTTTGATTCAGCATGCCCAAAACGAGTTCTTCAAAGAAACAACTAAATGCTGATATAGAGCAGGGAAAACCTTCTCCATTGAATGTGCCCGAAAAGATTTATTCAAAGAAACCTATACAAGAACAAGAAAATGCAGACGTAGAGCAGGCAAAACCCTCTTCAACACCAATGAAAGTAGGTAATGAGATAGATGAAATTTTCTCTGGAAAGAAGAGGAAGAAACCTGAACAAAAGAAAGTTGATAAGGCAAATGTAAATGGGGAAGATAAACCAAAATTGACGACAAAGAAGAAGAAGAAGAAGAAGAGTAAAGAAGATGAAGAGGGAAGGTTTACGGACCCGCCTTGTAGGTCTCGGAAGAAAACAGAAGATGGATTGAACATATATACGGAAGAGGAATTGGGTTTTAGCAAGAGCAGTGGTGGAGATACCCCTCTTTGCCCATTTGACTGTGATTGCTGCTTTTGATGATCCTTGCTGATGGGTTTAGCTGCTTCCTTGATAGAGTGGACTTATTGAGATATCAATGTAGTTTTGTGATTCTGAATTTTTAGTTTGCTGAAAATTCTGTGAAAAAATTTCCCGTGCACTGGAATTTTGGTTGCATGAAACTTGGTATTTTAATCAATTTTGCCAGCTTTCTTAGAACTCTTTTGCCTGGGTGGATTTGTTATATCTTAGATATTCTTCTGATTTTGATCCACTAGCAATTCCTGTACATGTTCTTCTATGATGAATTGACTATTGAGAACTCAGTGGGGCACTATGCATTGTATCTGATAGCCGTTATTCGTGCTACTTGCAAATCTGATCTTGGGCATTTTATGGAAACAACTAATGCATGCCTATTTGCAATTGTGACCTGGTGAGAGTTCCATTTATCAGCATCATTTAGGCTTGTTCTGATTACAGGGCTTGGTATTATGAATGATTATGCATACTTGCAATTGTGACTGAGGGATGATTCTGTATATCAAATTTCAGGATTGGTTCGGGTATAATGCCTGCTTCTGTGAATCAACTTAAAGGTACTGTGTAAGTATTAAATGTCCTCGGTTGAATCGGATTCACTAGATGAGCATAATTCTTGTGCATGCTTTCATATCAAATGCAAATATTCTTGTACTTCCATTTTCTAATTGACTCTGCTTGACTTTTTGTTCATTGTGAATTTCCAGTCTGGTAATTGGCAATTGGTTCTGAACTTTTCACCTGCAGTTGCATATTGAAACGGGAAGACAATAAGAAAACTAAATACAAATCTTGGTAACTATGTTGCACTCCAAAAATGTCCAAATGTTGTGCCAATATGACTCTTTTGTGTTTTCTCCTTGTTGACGCTTCCAACTTATCTTCTCTTGCCTATGTGTGCTCTACTTTCCTTTCATCCATTCCTTCACTTTTTCCTTCCTAGAATTGGAGTGTTGTTTTGTCACAGCAAGTTGGCATACTTTACTCCCATGAACAACCGTTGGTTTCTCAGCTGAAAAGCCATCCCATGTTCAACAGTCCAAGCACACTTCAATTGGTGCATTCATTAGCAAACTAAGGCATTACATAAAAGAGATGAAATTTCTGGTTTGGTAGAAATGAAAGTTCAAATATCGTTTTGATGTCTAATAAATAATTAGATCAGCAATATCATCGTGCCAAAAGCTTACCCTTGATTTCTGAATTACCACACCAGTCTCAGTATTGAACTGAATTTGGTCTGAGATAATTATGTTAACTTCTGCACAGCGAAAGACGTATATTAAAAAGTAGGTTGTGATGCAAAAACAACTACTCATTGAATTGTGATTTTATTAACTTTGTATGCTGAAAATTGTTAATTAGCAAAGAACTGGATTAGTAGTCGTTTGTATACAGCATGGGAAAAAAATAGACATAAACACTTAGAATAAAGAGGATATATTATCTTGTCCTTTTTATTTTGATGGATTCTCACTTATGAATGCAGCTGCTCTCTTACGAGGGTGAGCTATTATGATTTCAATTTTTTCAAAACGTCTGCGGCTCTCCTCTTGAGCTCTAAGTTTTAGTTACAGCAGATAATGCTGTCAAGCTTTTCATGTACACCTGAATTTTGATGAACGGAATTTGACGTTACAAAGCCAATTTTCATTAGTTCGCCTTAAGGTTCTTACCAGTATGGATTTGTTGGATCTTAGATATCCCTCTGATTGTTAACCATTAGCGTTCTGTCGTGCATTAACTTACTAGAATTGTCCTTCGATCCCTTTGCAAGCAAATTATTTTCTGAGGATGTTCATTCGGTAGTCATATTACGACATCATCTAAGCTTGGAGAGTTCCATTCATCACCTACAATTAAGCTTGTTTCGAGTTCCAGGAATGAAATTGAAGCTGCGCATATTTTTGCTTTCATGAGTGAGTCACATGTATCATTGCCATGGTGCTCTGCTTCTGTGAATTAACTTTAAAGGTATTATTTAGAAATCTAGGTAACCATATTGGAACTCCAAAAACACCCAAAGTATCAACATAAAATTTGAACACTTCCTGCCTCAACTTCTCTTGACAGTCTCGGGTGATCTGGCTTTCCTTTTATCCATTCCTTCACCCCTACCTTCCAGAGATGTGGATTGGATATTTAGTCTTTCCATGTTTGCAAACTCCAGTTTAATGAGAAACGCTTGGTTTCTGAATTGATACTCTGATGACAAACATTTATATTTCAACTGACATTCTCCCATGTTCAACAGAAAGAGCAAACTTCGATTGGTGCTTGATCAACTCCTGGTTTAAAGTCATTGTTGCTCAACAATTGTATTTTGATAACATGTTCTAAAGCGAGAACTAAGCATGACAGTCAGCAGTTAAAGAGATCAGCAATGCCATCGAATTCAAAGGCTCAGTCTTGATCACGGAATGCCGCTGGCAAAATGGAGATCTATATAAAGATGTAAATGTTTAACAAGATAAAAAGATTTTCAGTAAGGGAATTGAGCACCAAAAGGCTGATGGATTTACCAATTGGATTATTTTCCAGATTAAAATATATATATATATATATATATATGTTTTAAAGAGCTTTGAGTTATCTGAAATGGTTAAAAGGAAGCTCAGTTAAAGGAATTTAGCTGCTTAGAATTTGAAGGAAGCCATGATCAAGTAATGACTCCCTCCAATCGTGAAAGCAGCTCAATTTGGGCACCATGCAAAAGGTGATTCGGCATTAAATAAGACCAATAATCACCCGTGTCTGACTGGGTGCCGCCATTCTAGCCAAAAAAAAGAAGAGAGACTGGTGAATAGAGATGTAACCGGATTATTGTGTCAAGAAATAACAATGAGTTTCAAGGTATCTTCATCCGGCCATAACTGAATTTTGGCTCTAAGCGGCAGTCAGGTCGCCATGGATCGGCGCCTGCTGCTGACTCTGTTATAGAGCCGATCCACACCTTAACGTAATCAAATTCATTCTTGCATATAAAAAGATTGTTATACTTTACATAAAATCACAGCTTTAACCAATCAAAACACGGCATAAAAGATCTTGTTACCATGGAACAAGCGGCACTCTATAAAAGAGAAACAGAGTCGTGATGTTGCTGCCGAAAAACTACGCAGGAGGTGGTTTTGGAGTTAAGCTTATATAGTGGTTCACAAAAACCCTAAACTAAAGCAGGTTATGAAAGTACCATCTTAGACAGGGTTTTCATCCAGATTAGCTTCTAAACGAAGGGTAAATTAAGGAACACAAAAGAAAGAAAGATTCAAAACTTATTCCACCAAAACGACGCGGATTTGTGCACCTTCTTTTCTCAGCTTCTTGAAAATCAAACCTACCCTCTTTGACTGCCACCGCGATAAGAAGACGACAAATTCTGGTTGGTACTCTGATTTTCCAGTCGTGTCAAAGTGACATCCACGCAATAATAATATGCTTTCCTTTTAATTTAATTTTTTACATAAATAGATGTTGAAAATAAATCTTTAAAAATATCTAGAAAAAAAATAATTTAATTTCATTCATCCTGATAAAAAAAGGCATCAATAATCATCAATGACCTACAGTCCCAAGCTAATTTACATGAGTTAAAATTAGATTCTTTTAATAATGTATTTTTCATATTAATATGATAAATAAATTAAATAATTTTTTTAAATGTTATATTTGGTATCTGATGCTGAGTATTTTTTTAAATATATTAAAATATTTTTTATTTTTTGAAATAGTGTATGAAAATCAATAAAAAATACTAATTTAATATTTAAAAAAAAAACATTCATCTAAAATAAAAATTTACATCACTCTGAAAAGTTAAAAACTTAAATGAGACCACACCGAAGAGAAAAAGAGGAGCGGTGATAGGAGAGATAGCAGTCAAACCCCAGCATCCTGGAAACCCACCTAAATACCAAAGCCATTTGCTTTCTTCTTTGACTTTTTCCCTTATTTTATTTTATAAAAACACCCAAAACTCCATTGGCACCCACAGCCTCCCTTCTCTTCTCCTTGTTTTCTTCGTCTTAGCTACTCTTTTCCTTATCGCTATTCTTCAAATCGAAGCCATGGACGCCACGTCGTTCTGTGGTGCGCTTCCCCAGACGAAGCTCTCTGTTTCCAATCGTAATTTCTCAAGGTAATTCGGGTTTTTTTTTTGCATTTTTTCTTGATAGATTTTATTTTTACTTGATTGATAATTCATGATGGTCTGGATCATGTCGGCTGATTTTATTCAATTGATCTGAATTATTATTGATATTGTTGGTTAATTTGCAGCTCGTGCCCGCGTGTTAGATCTGTGGTTTCAGTAGCTAGGCACTCGTCCGAGGAATTTCAGCAGCCGGATAAACTTTATTCTCGAGAATCGTTAGTGGTTTCGAGTTCTAGTTCGGCTAATAAGGAAATGACAGCTAGCGGGAGATCATACTTGTCTGGTCCGGTTTTGAAGAGAAATCCGGGTGGGCAAGCATTCTGCGCTGCTTCTGTACTTGGAGTAGGCGCATACTGTGAAGGTTTTGTTGATTCTCATTTGCATGTGACAGAAGAAAAGGTTGGCGTGCTTCTTTTGAATCTTGGAGGGCCCGAAACGCTTAATGATGTCCAGCCGTTTTTGTTCAATTTGTTTGCTGATCCAGTATGTCGCTTGTTCGTCGATTCTTTATTTAAGACAACATTCGTAGTTTAGGGTTTGGTGTTGATCTGACAGTAGTAATGTTATTATATTGCAGGATATTATAAGACTTCCCAGGCCGTTTCAATTTCTTCAGAAACCTTTGGCAAAATTAATTTCTGTGCTTCGTGCTCCTAAAAGTAAAGAAGGGTATGCTTCTATTGGAGGGGGCTCGCCTTTGCGTAAAATAACGGATGAGCAGGTAGAATGCATGCCCTTTTAAGAATTAAGATTCCTGGCTTCTTCTTTGGGTGATCTTTGCTTGTGGCTTTAGATTTTTTCCTTGAGAAAACCATGTTTCAGTTTTTACGTTCTGCTTTCTTTCCTTTTATCAGTTTTATGTGTACCACTGCTTCTTCCTGAAGCCAAATACATTTAGACTTTTGAGAAAATTGTTGCAGGCTGATGGAATCAAAATGGCTTTGAAAGCAAAGGGTTTGACTGCAAATGTCTACGTTGGAATGAGGTATTGGTACCCATTCACTGAGGAAGCAATTCATCAGGTGAGACTCCAACTTTTGTATTCAATTTATGTATCCTTTGAAGTTCGTTGTGAATCTCCTAATAACATTTACTTGATCAATCATACTTGTTTTATTTGGCAGATT